GAAGTGGTGCCTCGATGCGCACCCGGGATCCGAACCCGGGCCGCCAGCATCGCAGCGCGCGCACTTAACCACCAAGCCACAGGGCCGGCCCGAGTGCATATGTTCTTTTAATCTTTGTTCACAGAAATATGCATTTTATGCAGGTGTCATCATAGTAGAAAACACCATTTTAATAATTGTTTTTCCACTTGAGCCAAATTTTGGCTACCTTTTTACATCAGCTTATGATCATAATGTTTCATAGCTATATAAAATCAGTTATTTTACTTAATAATTTCCCTATCATTAGAAATTACATTGTTTTTTAAATTTCTGCCACTATAGAGAACAGTCTTTCTCCTTCAGTTGAATTAACTTAGAATTATCCCCAAGAGGAGGATTTCTGAACTGAGGGAATGAATATTATGGTGTTTGATGCTACCATACTATGCTTTAACAAAGGAATGTACCAATCTGTTATGCTCCCATGAGTGACTGAACTAATTTCACTACAACATTGTTACCACCCAGTGACATCTTAAAAACAATTTTTTTCCCCCAAGATAAGTAAGAAAAACAATAGGGAACTGCTGATGGATATGAACAGAAGAATATTTTTTTCACTGGATACATTCCCAACAGAATCTAGAATTCAGTGGATGGAGATTATAGGAGGTAGAATTAATTCATCTTGTTACCGTCTGGGGTGGAAAAAGCAACTTTAATTATTATTAGGAAATACTCATCACAGGATGAGTTTCCCCCAGTAAGAGCACTTTCTCCTTAGTCCCAGGATTAAGTTATACCTATCACTTGTCTTGATGGATGCACTCTTAGAATAACCCAAAAGCCTAGTATAGTGCAGATGAATAGAATACAAGTGACCAATCAAGTTAGGAAAAAGAGCAATTTCATTGCCAAATCATAGAATGCTAGACTAAGTTATGGAACACGTTAATTAGCATTTAGACCTACACAAGAAAATGGTAAAATATTTACCTCCACATGATAGCTCATCTTGAAGCAGAACTAGGTGCATGGGGCAAGAGCACCTTGTAGTACCATCTCCTTTTACAAGACAAATATGTGAACAGCCACCATTATCCTGAGCACAAGGGTGCTGTCCTGCCAAAAAAAAAAAAAAAAAGATAAAGAAAAGGGGGGAGGGGCAGGGAGGAACAGCCCAGTCGAAATCAATTATTTATGAGTTATCAAGAAAATCAAATGTAAAATCACCTCGGACTGTATTTCTACAGAAAATAACTCCTCAATCCATCCCTATACAATCTATAAGAAAATGAGGACAACAATTTAAAAACACAAAATACTTATATCTAACCACTGTCTTTACATATTTATATCTAAAATATATTTTAAGTATTTTAAGAAGGTAATGGTACAGCTCACATTAATTTTTGTAAATAAGAAAAGCTGATTATTGAAACCAAAAAAACTGCTTCGTAGAATGCTGAGACCTGGATATTATTCTATTTAAAATACAAAAACTCTTCTAAAGTAAAGAGTTTAACTCAGAAATTCTATCTTTCTTAAAGATAACACAATTTTACTCAAAAAGTACATTTTAATGAGGAATCCACTGAAAATTAAAGAGTTATTAGAAGAAAAAAGTTTAAGTTCACATGGAACTCAACCACTCAGAGACAATGAAAATTATTTGCTTGGTCATTTGCAAAATATAACTTGGAATGTTACAAATGTTTAATTTCCCTATATCAGCGATAAATTAAACAAATACACTGTCAGGCAACTTTTCAAAGTCTGTCTCACAAGTTGTATTTAATGAAATCATTGCTTTGAATTTTCTACTTAGCTTGTGTTAAAAAAGAAACTTGACATTTGTCATCACTGAATACCAATATCTAATGTAGCCATCCATTTCTCATCCAACTCTCTTCTCAAAAACACATCAGAACTGCTTCAGCATGTGTTAATGAGATTGAGGGAGTCAGCTATCTACAAATGAGCAGATATGTTATACTACATAGATATCCCAAAACAGACATCAGTCATATTAAAATACACAACCTATATAGCAGTGTTTCTCAATCTTTTAATTCCATGACACTTTTGATAAACAAAAATCTCATTTTCTTTAATGTTATTAGAAATTTGAAAAAATACATTTACAAATATAAAGACATTTAAATGTTGAATTATAAAAAAAGATATCCCCCCTGAAATTCTCAAAATCTCCATTGAGGTTTTCTGCAATAAAATATTCATATAGCAACCAAATAAGTAACTTATATTGTGTTATTATTACCTTATTTCTATTAAATGTTCAGCATGAGTTACATGTCATAACATAGAATGACAACAACTCTAACTTTCTGATTCTCAAATACCTCTAACAACTTCTAAGTTCATGAACAGTTACTACACGAGGAAGACTTGAACAAGCAATGGTGCTCTCATTCCTCAATTCTCCTTTTATACTCCAATTTGACTTGAAAGCATTGTGTTGAGAAGTTAAGGAGTTCCAATAGTTCTCTCTTCAGGGCTCCATTTAACACTAGCATTCCTGGTATAATCATGTAAGACACAGTAGTGATTGCTATGAGGGTACTTTTTTTTTTTTTTTTTTTTAATAATTTTATTTATTTATTTATTTTTTCCCCCAAAGTCCCAGTAGATAGTTGTATGTCATAGTTGCACATCCTTCTAGTTGCTGTATGTGGGACGCGGCCTCAGCATGGCAGGAGAAGCGGTGAGTCGGTGCACGCCCGGGATCCGAACCCGGGCCGCCAGCAGCGGAGCGCATGCACTTAACCACTAAGCCACAGGGCCGGCCGCTATGAGGGTACTTTTCATTACAGACACATATTAACAAGAAACTAGGCTAACATAATTAGCCATTTCAAAAGTTTTCAATAATATTAAAAAAATATTTATGGCTAGTTTTCTAAGCTGAGAATTGAAAAAGTTATCTAAGAGGGGAAAAAACAGCACTTACTAAGCACAGTCTTATCTAAGTTTTTTTTTTTTTATAATTTTATTTATTTATTTTTTTCCCCCAAAGCCCCAGTTGATAGTTGTATTTGACAGCTGCACATCTTTCTAGTTGCTGTATGTGGGACGCGGCCTCAGTATGGCCAGAGAAGCGGTGCGTCGGTGCGCGCCCAGGATCCAAAGCCGGGCCGCCAGCAGCGGAGCGCATGCACTTAACCGCTAAGCCACGGGGCCGGCCCAGTCTTATCTAAGTTTACACACTAATTTTTAGTTTGTTTTGCTTTTGCCTAAGAATAAGATTATTCCATAATAACATATTTACCATTATATAATTTTGCTTTTGTTCAAACTATGGGGGTATACAAGGAACAGAAGAAATATATGCTTTATATCAGTATTCTTAAAGAGTCTGAAGGAGAGCAAGAGAAAGCATGACAAGCAGAGTCTTTGCTGTACCTGGGGAAATTTTTGAAAATGAAAAAGACCATTCCTTTCTACCACTCCTGTTTTATGGGGAAAAGACGCTTAATTTGATAAAGCTCCTAGGTGAGTTTGATACAAGGCTTTAAAAACATGAAGAGTTAAAAAAAAAAAAAGGAAATACTAAAAGTGCGTGAAAATCTTAAGGAGCTAAGACGACATTAAAGAACACTTTAATTTTATCGTAATTTCTGAGAACAAACATGAATCCTGCAGTGAGCAGTACACTGTCAAAACTTACTATATTCTTGAAGGTTCAGCTCCTTTACTGCATGAATGTCACTAAGCTGGGCAATTCGAGCCTGGACTTTGGTTCTACCCTCTCGACCTGTCATGTCAATTTTTTCAATCATTTGTTGCTGCTTATCAATCCAATATAACCAGTTTTCAAACACAGTCAGTCCCACAGGCTGCAAGATATTGGAGTCTTCTAATACTATCCGGTTGGCACCTTGGAAAGGAGAACATTAAACAGAAATGATTCATGTGGGTCAAGACATACATTCAACAACTATCTATTGAATACCAGTTAGATTTTAAAAGTACTGCAAAGGAAAATATGATAAGCTCTCTACCACAAAACTTAAAAATCATTCTGAGAAGAAAAGATATACACATACTAGAAAATAGGTAATAGACTAGATATTCAAGAGTGATCAAGAGCAAATAAATGCCCAACACATAGTAAATATTCTAGTTCATAGAAACATAGAAAAGAACTCAGAGCAGTTTTCACAAGTTTTTTTTTTAAAACAGAGTCCATTTTTCAAATTAAATTTTATGAAAAGCTCTAACATATAAAACAGATAAAAATGGTACTTCTCTAGGTGAAGCAGTGATGGTGAGCCCAGAGCTCTGTGTTCTTGGCCTCTCAACTCACTTAGTACACCTAAGGCACCCGTGAAGGACAACTCCCCCCTAACCCTACCTGGCCACCTAGAACACAGAAACAATAACTGACTCAGAGGTTTCCTGGTTCGAGCCTCAGCTCAAAGAATTCTTTCCACAACATCCCAGACATAGAGCCATCCAGACTCTGAAGAGGCAACCTATTCTATTGTTGAACTGTGAGAAAGTTCTTTCACATAGTGGGCTGAAATCTGTGCTCCACTCCCCACCCCCAAAGCTTCTCCCTCACTCAAAAAGAAAAAACATATTCATTTCTTCCCTCTTCCTCATAATAGTCCTTCAAATATCTATAGAACATTTTCATGATTCCTAAGTGATGAGTTCAAGCAAAGAAAAATATTAGCTTATACTCTGGAACTATCAGGGAAAGTTCCAAGAAAGAGGCTAGCATAAAGCTAAGGTTTAAATATCTGGAGAAAAGTAGGGAGATATTCCAGATGAGAAGGCAGTGCCTAAGTCAACATTCAGATCCATGGTGGCTTAAACACAAGTTTACCTATGCTCTCTCCTAAAAATCTACTAAAATGGTAGTAAAAAAAATAAGGTATAGGGGTCAGCCCAGTGATGTAAAGGTTAAGTTCGCGTGCTCCGCTTTGGTGGCCCGGGGCTCGCAGGCTCGGATCCCGGGCGTGGACCTACGCAACCTACACACCATTCATCAAGCCATGCTGTGGCAGGCATCCCACACATAAAGTAGAGGAAGATGGGCACGGATGTTAGCCCAGGCCCAATCTTCCTCAGGAAAGAGAAGGATTGGCAACGATGTTAGCTCAGGGCTAATCTTCCTCACCAAAAAAAAATAAAAAATAAAAAAATTAAGGTATAAACCCATAAGGATAAATAGGACATAAGAGTAAAAAAGTGATATAAAATTTGGAAGTTGGAGAACAGACAGACCAGGGATAATGAAACAGTAGCCCAGAGAAAGCTAAATGCCTACAGTCTGTGAAGCCAACAACAAAATCAATTAGCTCAGGAAGTGGAAGCACCAGGTATTTTGGGATGGAGCAAAGAGAGGAGTCATGTGGCTGGGGCTGAAAGAAGAGTACTGACTGAAAATCAGTACAAGAAGTTATGCAGCTCCTGGATCTCCTCCCTTCCTCTAGCAGAAGACTGAAGATTCACTTTCTAAAGAGGTTGAATCAGACTTTAAAACACCAGGCAAAGACCCAAGAGGCAGCACCATAACATGGGATTTTACAAGGGAATTACTTAAAATTCTACTTTCTGATTGGTGAGACTCTCCCCAACACCCTTCTCCCACTAGACTCCAAGAGCACTGGCAGCCAGCTTTTATCCTCCTACAGAAGGCTGGAAGATTTCCCTATAGGAAAAACAAACCACCACCACCAACTATAATCAAACAAAAAACCTGAGGTATACAGAGAAAAGAACTTCAGATAGCATCACCTGGGAGTCCCATTAGAAAACAGCCAGGTGTACACAAGAATCCTACCACTTCACAAGCAGCAGCAATGTGGAAATCAGCACTTTTAGTGCCTCACTGTTAAATATAAACAGACAACTAAGGATCACCAGATATTTAAAGAAAATTTCTACTTTCAAATACAAAGGCCAAGACAAACAGAACAAAGGAACTTCGAGAAAAAGACACTGTTAAAAGCAGAAGAAAACAAACCAAAAGCAACAAAAAAACCTAAAGAACAGGATGTGAAAAATCCTCTCAGAAAGCAGAACAAAAAGAGAAAGAGATAAAAGGAGAGAAAAATACAGTTATAATCAAGAAGGTCCAACATCTGAATAAAAGTTACAGAATGAGAAATAGAAAATAAATCGTCAAAGAAATAACACAGAAAAACTTTCCAGAACTCAAGGTGTACGTGTCCAGATAGAAAAGACTCACCTAGTAAATTTCAGGTCAATGAAATAAAGAATCAAAGAGATAAGGGGGAGGGGATCACACAAAGGCATATTATCATCAAATTCTAGAACAGTGGGGAAAAAGAGACGATGTTAAAAACTTCTAGAGGAGAAAATAAAGGATCACATATAAAAAGTCAGGAATCACAATGACATCAAACACCCCAGTGACATGAGATGCTTGAAGACAATGGAGTTCTGTCTTCAAAATTTTGAGAGAAAATAGTTATGAAACATGAATTCTAAACACATCCAAATTATCAAACAAGTGTGAGGAAAAGAAACATTCAGACAAGTAAGATCAAGAATTTTAACTTCCTATGAAACGTTTTTCAAGAAGCTAATAGAGGATGTGTTCTATCAAGAAAAAGGAATTAACCAGAGTAATGGAATCCAGGAAACAGCAGCAGGAGACTGGCAGGTGCATCCCTAGGGTAATGGTGAAAGGAAGTTGGCCTAGAAAGCAAGGAAATCCAGATTGGAGCAAGATGATAAAAAAATTCAGGAGGCATGCTTTCAATTAAAAAGAAAAAAAGATGGATTGCTTGATACATCTCTATGTATTGAAACAATATTTATAATATTTACATTAGACAAGATTAACTTCAGGGAGAAAAAAATCTATAGAAGGAAATGTAGCTGATGGTAATATCTGCATCGCCATAAATAACATTAAATAATTAAGTATGCACTTGAAAATTATGATATAACTATGCTGGGAGGATGGAAGAGTTCACGGTGGTATTTTGGGGATATACAGTTTCAGATAGCAAAATCTTTCTCTTCCAACAAAGGAAGTCAACTCGCAATGTCTAAAATTGAAAAATCAAGAAACAACAGTTTTAAGCAAGTTATTTTAAAATAACTGAAAGTGGATGCCTCTGAGAGTGGGAACTGAGAGTAGGAAGGAGAAGAGCAAATTTATTTTTTATAAGCCAAGTAGAACCATTTGATTTCCGTAAATATTTACATGTATTACTTTGATGAAAATTAAAGTTAAATTTAAAACAGTAATAATAGGAGTGATTAAAAAAGATTAGTTGGTGGCAATGGAAGGATGGCCTCAAGTGGACAACCAGGGAAAAAGAGATGTCAACAGTGTCACTGCAAGACCCCAGCCCAGACATGATGAGGATCTCATCAACTCTGACGGCAGTGATAAAAGGAGTATAAGTAGAACACTGGAACCAATAACGAAGCGAGACGTTTATGGGTTCAACAAACTAAGCATGCCCTAAATGCAATCCAGGATAAAAGGCTCTACGGGAGGCTAAAAATATGAAGTAGAAAAAGATCCCATGATAAAAGTGCATGCTTATCCGTGAATATATAAGGAAGGAAAGAAAAAAAAACCCTACCAACATTATACTAACCTTTTTCAGAAAACAGAAAAAGGGAAAACATTTCTTTTTATGAGGTGAATGTAACCTTGATGGCAAAACTCCAACAAGTACATTATAAGAAAGGAAAATTATAAGGTAATCTTTTTCATGAACACAGATGCAAACATCTTAAACAAAACTTTAGCAAATCAAGTCCAGTAATATATAAAAAGGATAATGTATCATGCCAAGTTTATTCTAGCAAACCAGGAACAGAAAGGAACTTCCTTAATCTGATAAAAAAGTTATCTACAGAAAAACTTCAGCAAACATAATACCTAATCATTAAGTATTGAATGCTTTCCCCCAAATCAAGAAAAACAAAACAAAAAAATCCAAGAATTCTATTATTCTATTCAACGCTGGATTAGGGGTCCCAGCCAGTATTATAAGGCAACACGGAAAAAGGACAGGAAAACAAGAAATAAAACTCTCATTACTTGTAGACAAATGATTCCATAATGTAGAAAATCCTAAATAAACTACAGATAAGTGAATTTAGCAAGGTCCCTGGGAACAAGCTCAATATACCAGAGGGGAGGAAAAAAATAAACTGTATTTCTATATTCCAGTCACAATCAGAAAATATAATATTAAAAATTTAGAATACTCTTTACTACTAGCATTCAAAAGCATCAAATACCAAGGAATAACTAATGAAAGATGGGCATGACCTCTACACAGAAAACTATAAAACACTGAGGGAAATTAAAGTTGTAAATAGATAGAGGGATATACCATGTTCATGGTTTGGAAGACTAATATAAAGATAATAATTCGTCCTAAATTGATCTATAAATTCAAAGCAAACCCAGTCAGAATTCTAGTAGGTATTTTCTTTTTGGTGGAAACTCAGAGGCTGATTCTAAAATATATATGGAAATGCAAAGGGTCAAGAATAGTCAAAGTAAACTTGAAAAAATATTAACGACGCACATTGCCAGATAAATCTGTTATAAAGTTATAATAATTAAGACAATATAATGTCACGTAAGACAAAGTGACCAAGGGAACATTACAGTTCAGAAACAAACTCATACAAATATAGTCACTTGATTTATAACCAAGGTGATATTAGACAATAAATGGTGAAAGGATGGTCCTCTCAAAAAATGGTGCCATTCTGATAGATATAAACAGTGTATTATTTTAATTTCATTTCCCTGATCACTAGTGAGGCCATACAGAGTATTTGGACATCAGAAACTGAGGGGAGGGGAAGTAACTATGATTGTAGACAATGAGAAAGTAAAAGCACATCTGAAGACCAAGAAATGATGTAATTTGGTTAAAACACCAGGAATGTTAAGATCATTTGAGTTTGATGATGAGTTTGTGAAAGGCAAATGCCAACTTAAGTGTACAACTAGACTTTTTTCTTCAGGTTATGAGACTACTCTGAAGATTTTTTTTACTACAATAATGACATAATTAGAAATCATGCCTCAGAAAATTAATTTAGAAACAGTGCATAAACTTTCAGGGGGGAAAATCAGTAGGGAGGAGACTAATCACAGGCTAGAATTCAGCCCAGAGATGATGAGAACATAAACTAGAGCAGAAGAATTTGGAAAGGAGAAGAGATGCATTAGAAATATATTATTTACAGAGCCCAAATCAAGAAAATTGGCAAGTCATTACATAACAAAGGGAGTAACCATGTTGAAGAAAGAGTGCTGCCCAACCAACTTGATGTTGACTACTTTTAGTGAATAAAACTGTAAAGAAATGTGTACAAAAAAAATACAATGGAAGAAAAATACAAATGCTAATGATGAATATCTCAATAACTCAAATAAAAATAAGGAAACACATTTCTCGGGTACCTGAGAGATCACTGCTTTCAATTCGCCGGAGATCTGAATCAGCCCAAAAGAGCTTCCCCAATCTGCTATCGAGGGCTAAAGCAATTGGTTTACTTAAGCCACTGAAAAAGAGGACCTCCCGTTCTGTTCCATCCAAAGCAGCCCGTTCAATTTTCGGAGACCTTTCCTGAAGATTGGTAAAATACAGATAGCTGAAGAGAAAGGAAGAAACAAGTTTACCAAAGGAAGAAACCATACAAAATGAGAATATTCTTGTTGATTAAGATAAAAGGAGGCAGAATAATATTTTAAAATCTTATTTTTAATTTCAGAATATATTTTTTAGAAGACCATGGGATACTTTCATCACTTTCAATAATAGTAATAAAAGGTACACAGAAATTCTTAGAAAGCTAACTTGCACGGATTAACAAAAACAAAGCGTTAGACACAGGCACATCTGTGCTTGTGGAATAATACAATTAAATAAAATAAATAAAAGATAAAAAAGCAGTACCCAGAGAGATCTGGACACAAAATTTTAAACTTCTTCTCTAAGTAGTCCATTTCACAACTAAAAATGTCACATACGAATCATTTCTTATATTGAATTTTGAGTTCATCTCTTTCCTATAACTTTTCTGAAGTAAGCTATTTTCCCTGCTGAATTCCTTATCATTCATTCAGATGCAAATAAGTACTATTTATTACATGAAAAGCACTGTATTAAATCAAAAAAGACATTTGAGTTCTTGTCATACAGGAACCTAAAGTCTGGTAGGAAATATAAGATTAAAAACAACTCAGTATAAGGTAAATTGGAAACGACTAAGTATAACTAGAGAGGCACAGATATGGAGTGCTGGGTATTTGAGAGAGGTGAAAATCACACCTGGCTGGGGGTGGGGTAGATTAAGGAAAACTGCAGAGAGGATGTTGCAGTTCAAATGGTCCTGGAGGTATGGGTCGAAATTAGAACTAAAGCAATAGTACTAAAGAAGGAAATTTTAGGCAGTAAAATCACAGAATGCAAGGATATAAGAAAATGCAGGGGCAGCTGGATGGAGAATATCGAGTTTTTCACAGGAGCACACAAAACTTAAAGATAAGTAACTAGGGGCTAAAAAGGAAGGGTGATGAGGGTCTCAGATGCCAAGACATCTGAATGGCATTTTAGTAACATACCCCTTCTCTGGGTTTACCACAATGGCTCGAGGTCTGTCTTGATCGCCTTTTAGCACCACTCCAATTGATCTCCCATCTAATCTTGTTACATTAATGACATTGGTGGCCTCACAAGTCCAATAGATGTAGCGGCTATAAATATCAATGCTGAGGTCATATGGTTGTATTTCTAGGTTCTGATTCGGAACTGAGCTCACAACCACAGTAAAGCCCTGGGGAAAGAAAAAGATACACACACACACACACACACACACAGAAAATTAGACTCCAAGCCAGAGAGCCCTGAAGTGATCACTCACAATGCTTACACTTATGTGGTCACACACCAGAGTAGGAACTCTCAAGTCTCAAGGGACATTTCTTACTGATACATTTTTTAATGGGTAATGTGCTTCTCTGTTAACATGCATTTCAAATGTTCCCTTTGGTTATTATGACATGGGGCAGAAGAGAGAGCTGAGATCACATTAGTTGCTCTAAGAACCTGATAGTGCATTGATTAGAGATGAAAGTGAGAAGGTGGCAGCTGTCTTCTGCAAACTGGAGACAACTGTGGCTAGAACCACACCCTAGAAATACCTCTAAAGCAGTGGTTCTCAACCAGGGGCGATTTTGCATTTGCAAATGCCTCAACCAGGGGCATCTGGCAATGTTTGGAGACATTTTCGATTGACACGCCTATGGGGGTATAACTGGCATCTAGTGGGTAGAAGCAGGGATGCTGCTAAGCACCCTACAATGTACAGGTCAGCCCGCTACAACAAAGAATTATCCAGCCCAAAAATGTCAACAGTGCTGAAGTTGAGAAACTTTGCTCTAGAGACAATAGCAATTAGTCAGGGCTACAAACCACGTGGATCAATCATGTCTTTCTCTAATCCCCAAATCCACCAAAAAAATTTATTTTTACAAAGCCAAGCAAAAAGAGAGGCTTTGTTCATCTGTTCTACCTGAATAAAGTACATATTATTTACTCAGCATCTGTGAGGTAACATATTCCTTAATGAGGCTATTGTCATTTATGTGTTGTGTCCTTGGCTGTATAATAACAGCTATAACTTCTATCTACTAGTTATCAGCCAATTAGTCCTGGGCTACATAGTATAAGGTGCATCCGCAACATACCTCTACAGCTATACCCTTAGATGATTCCTCAGCAGCCTAAATACATTATCTCTTTGCTCTTTTTTGTGAGATAAGACATATCAAAAATCAGTAATATAATGTCCCTAAATTTTAATACATTCAAAATCCAACTTAATATCACTGCTATAAGGAAGATGACAAGTAATTATTTATAGTAATCCTAGTCTAACATTGCTTGGCCATAGAAAGAAGGCAAAGAAGTATGGATAGTGGTATGTAAACCATGACTGGTATGTAAGCATAGATAAGTTTTGTTGATAATATTTTCATTCCCATCCCATAGTCACCAAATAATGTTTGCCAAAAAAAAAAAAAAATCATTGGATTAATGATAAAATATCCTAGATGTTTTTAATTTTACTGAGATTGTGTTGTATGTTTCCTATCCTCTGAACCTTTTAAATAATAGTTAACTAGTAATAACTAGTTATTGAGTCCCTACTATGTAACAGGTAATGTGCTATGGTGCTTTACATTCCTTTCACCTAAAACGTTCTTAAGAATCCTAGCGAGTGATAGAACTGAGATCAGAACCAAGATCTATTTGATTTCAAAGCTTCCAACCCTCCATGTAAATGGAACCATAATGATATGCGTGGCAATAAAAAAGTCATTACCAACATATGAGCATATGTTATCCTGATACAATTTTCATTCCAATAGCATTTATCAAACAGTTGTTTACTCAAAGATCGTTAGGAGGAAACAAAGCTGTTAGATCCAGAATTTCAGTTAAACACACACACACCCAGACTTAAGCAGAGTCAAGACTTAAGTAAAACAGAATGGTTGGTTAGTCCAATTACTAGGCAGAAGAAATGGATTTTGAACTGAGCCCTAAATTACCTGACTGCCATCTTCTTGTGCTTTTCGGATCATGTTTTGCCGTGAGTCAATCCAATAGAGTTGCTTGTCCAGTGGGTCATAGTCAATGGCCCGGACATTCCGAAGGCTGTGGATAGGAAGGATGATGTCAGGGCTTTGCTGTTCATCAATCACCATGCGGTTGATGGCGCTCTTTTGACTGAAGAGCAGGAAAGTAGTTGGAGCTTCAAGAAAGAAAAGAGTAAATCTGAAACACAGTTAATTTAAATCCTGTATCCCTCAAAGATTTGTGATCAGCCTGTTACCTATATCTCATACAAAAGAGACACAGATGTTGAAGAGGTAAGGTTGAGGACAAAACCCTGTGGTATGCCCTAGAAACTCTCTTCAAGGTGACACTTATCAGCGCTCTGGTTACCAAACCAGTTAAGAATCTCCCCAATGACACAGCCACCAAGCTTATTTTCCTCCATCTTGTCCATAGTGGTATCATAGGAGACTTGATTTCAATGAAGCATTTGATCAAGATATACAAAAATCCTCCTTGTCTACCAAGTGAATAACCCTACTCCTCCATAACCTATTCTTGTGGGTGGCAGGAAGCCTGGGCCTCCATAGGTCAAAGCAGAAATTTCAAGACTGGTTTTAGTCTCAGCTCTTTCACTATCTAGTCCCTTGATTTTGAATTTCTTTGGGTCAAAGTCAACTCTAAAATAAGGTATAGTTATCTTGTCCTGCTCACTAACTGCTATAAGAATTTTACCACACATGTGAAAACACTTTAAAAACTATAAGGCATTATGTCAATTATAGTTCAATTAAAAAATTGCAAGGTATTATACAAATGTAAAGTAAATAACTATTGTTTATTATTATAAAGTAGTAGCAGTAATAAACCTGGTATTAATGGGAATTAAAGAAATTTGCATGGATTGCAGAGATAGGTTTTATTTTGCATTGTGCGTAAATGATGGCTGCAGGGAGAGGGAGCTGGTAAGAATCACACACACACAACTAATAAAAACAAATGCTTTCTACTCATTATCTCTAATCTTCATAATAAACCTTGTATTTGTAGTTTCACTAAAAAATATTCTGCTCTGATGCTAAGTTGAAGCCCTAAATTTACGAAAAGAGGAAATGTAACAGAGACATTTCCCTTTCCTAGGGACTAGGCCTCTGATCATTATGTAATCATCTTTAATGCAGGAAAACATCTGGAAAAGAACAGCATTTGACAGAGTTACCAACAAATTCAAAGTCTAATAGCATTTTTAAAATATTCATTAAAATATATATAAAAACTCTATTCTCTTGGTGCTCAGTCATCACCTATATGCAGTAAAATTTTTTCATTCTCAGGGATATAAACATAAATGGCCAAGCCAGAACTCCTTGTTTTATTTCTCTCAAACCCCATTCTTCACAGCTCCATTATTTGTGGTTCCCTGGTTTATTTTACATTTACACCCAAACATATATTGGCTTAAATCCCAAAGAAACTCATTGGCACTCACAAAAAAACTTGGTATTCACAACACTGAAATTCTGCTTTATGTATGCATAACACTGAAATTCTGCTTTATTTAAGTTCTTCACTGGCAAAAAGCCCACACCTAGCTTGGAAGATTTAGCAAGTATTCCAATGATCCCACTGGAACTATTATATGGAGTCTATCACATACTGATTTAACAACTTTTAGCAATTTTAGTGGAACCCACGCCTTAAGCAGTCAGAACACATGTCAAAACAGAGTAGCTAACAAGTCTCCCATCTTTTTTCCAAAACAATTATTTTTTGGCAGTATAGTACTTCCTCATAAATCAAGAAAAAAGGGGAAAAAAAAGCCTCTAAATTGTAAGTTTCCAACAGAATAAGCACCATACAATGAGACTTAGAAGAAAGATCCCAGAGCTTTAGTTGCCAACTTTTCCTGCCCGAGAAACAGTTATTCAAATACATATTTGGCTCTTAGTATGTTTTACTGGGTACTTTTTTTGAGTCAAGTTTTAACCTTCAGTAAGATTCCACAATTAAGTGTTCTAGAAACGTGGATTAAGAAAAAGCCAAATAAATACGGCTCAAAATAAATGCTCATTTCAAAAAGTCTACAGGTGACATTAACAATTACAATTAGGGGCCAGCCCTGTGGCTTAGCGGTTAAGTGCATGCGCTCTGGTACTGGCGGCCCGGGTTCAGATCCTGGGCCCGCACCGACGCATCGCTTGTCTGGCCATGCTGAGGCGGCGTCCCACACACAGCAACTAGAAGAATGTGCAACTATGACATACAACTATCTACTGGGGCTTTGGGGAGAAAAAGGGGAAAAAAAGGAGGAGGATTGGCAATAGATGTTAGCTCAGGACTGATCTTCCTCAAAAAAAAAAATTAAAAAAAAAAGAACAAAGGGTTCTGTGGAACAACCACCAAAAAAGAAAAAAAAAAAATCTCAGGAAAGAAGATGAAGATTTGTTAATGACTCAGCCTCCCTGAATAAACTTCAAAAAAAAAAAGGGGGGGGGCTGGCCCAGTGGCGCAAGCCGTTAAGTGCACGCGCTCTGCTGCAAGCCGCCCAGGGTTCACCAGTTCAGATCCTGGGCACGCAATGACGCACCGCTTGTTAAGCCATGATGTGGCAGCATCCCACATAAAGTAGAGGAAGATGGGCACAGATGTTAGCCCAGGGCCAGTCTTCCTCAGCAAGAAAGAGGAGGATTGGCATTGGATGTTAGCTCAGGGCTGGTCCTCCTCACAAAACAAAAACAAAAACAATTACAATTAACTGGTTCAATATTTCTAAGAGGAAGCTTATGTTTTGACTTATTTACAAGTCATTTGGTACTTAAATTGACAAAGACTGTGCAATTTTGTAAGCCTAAATCCATCCTAATTTATGTAACCTCTAACCACCACTCCCTCATCTCCTACAGAATGGTGCTTTAAAAACTGTCCTATCAAGTTGTCTGAGTTTTGCATTCCCACAGTGAAGACAGCCACATGCAGAAGTTGAAGGATGAGGTATAAGTAGGAGGAAGCTTTTCAGCTCTCTTTTGAAGGCACAAGTGTTCACCTGTAGCTTAAAGGAAAGCGTTGCTCATGGGTAGAACAGCATAAACTACAAGGCCAAGCCTGCCACATCTGACTGTGCCATTCGTGCACTGTGCCAAAGGCCTTGAGCAGGGACTCAAGTCCAGCCCACACTTCATTAGCCAAGCCATGCACTTGTGTGACTGCATCTGCCCAGAGTTACATCTTTTCCCAATCTGCACAAAGGTGCCACAGAGTCCAGCCACTTCAGTACTAAACAAGGGATTATACAGTTTGGCTTCCTGTTTCCTCTCTGACAATCTCTTTATTCACTCTGTTCCAGCAACACTGGCCTCCCAGGTGTTCCTTTAACATGCCGGAACATTCCTCCCTAGGGACTTTGCATTTGCTGCCCCCTTTTGCTTGATAGATCTTCTCCCAGGTATCTACATAGCTCATGTCCTCGTCTCCTTCAGTTCTTGATATAACGTCACTTTTTCAGTAAGGACTTCACCCTATTTAACATTGCAATCCTCCTCCCCACCCTTTCTTGCTCTTAATATTTCTCCATAACACTTATCTTCATCAAACTCATGATATCATTTACTTAGTTGGTTCGTTATCTCTTCCACTGGAATGTAAGCTCCATGAGCACAAGGACTGATGTCTATTTCATTCACCCGCTACACTCCCCACTGGTTCAAATAATGCCCAGTATGTAGTAAGTGTTCAGTAAGTATACACTGACAGAATAAATAAACAAATGAAGAAACAAGCATCAGATGATGATAACTAAGGAGAACCCTATAGCCCTGATTTTGAAAGTAAGAAAATAAAATTATTTCAGAGAATTAGGAAGGAAAAGAAACAAACACTTATTTAGGACCTCCAACATGTCATACATCATACTAGATATTATTTAATCCCCAAAATTATCATCTTCATTTCATAGGTGAGCAAACTCAGAAAGGAAAAGTAATTGTTAAAGAAAGGTTAAGTAATTTTTCCAAGGTCACAAACCTGTTGAATGGAAGAGCACATGTTTTTCCAAATCCTGTCCTGCTTCTTCATTCTTTTACTTAACAATAATTTCTTGAATGACTACTATTTACCAAGTGCTATCATAGGCCCCTAAGATATATCAGTGAAAAAACAAACTAGACCCCATGAAGCAGCACTTTTTATTCCAATAGACAATAAGCAATAATAAAAAGTTGTAGTATATAAATAGTAGAGTATATAAATTATATAGCATATCAAAGAGTGATAAGTGTTATGGGAAAAAGAAAAAGTACAGGTAAGGGGCACTGGCAATGCCAGACAGGGTGGAAGGATGATTTGCAAGTTTAAATAGGGTAGCCCAGATCTCACTGTGAAGGTCACAATTAAGCAAAGACTTGGAGGTGAAGTATATCCATGCAAATATTTGTAGGAAAAACATTCCAAGCAGAGGAACTAAGCAGTACAACGGTCCTGAGGTGGGAGTAATCGGCACATTTGAAAACAGCAATGAGGCAAGTATGGCCGTCATGGAGAAAGCAAGGGAGAGAATAGTGAAAGCTGAGGTTAGAGAAGCAAATCGTGTAGAAACTTGTAGGCCATTATAAGAACTAGGTTTTTACTATGTGTGAAATGGTGAGCCATTGTAAGGTATTAAGCAGAGAAACAACATGATCATCATTGATTTAGCTTTTGAAATACATGTTAAGGAGTAAATTACACAATGGTAGAAAAGTTTTTGAGGGCAATTACTTTGCATTACACTTCTCTTGCATTTTGCCTTGAAATCTAATACATGTCTACACAAATATTAAATGGTACTCTTATAAAAAGAGCACACACCAGGAAGCCTCTTGAAGCACTACTGATCTATTCAGAAAGGTAGCCAAAGACAGATATAAGGGACACTCAGCACTGATTTCTCATGGCCTTCACTCACAAACCAACACGCACGAGTATAAGCAGCTAAAACAATACTAATCTCAAAAGGTCTTTCCACATTCTTCTTGTCTCCATCTTCCCTCAGTTATTACCCCTATTTCTTCCTTCCCTTCAAAGTCAAAATTCTTGAAAAAGACATCTATACATACTACCTCCCCTTCCTTTTCTCCATTCACTTTTTGATCTACTCCAATCTTTCACCATTATTTCTCTGAAATTAATCTCTTCAGGGTTACTAACAACCTCTTTATCCAAAAATCCAGTGGATACTATCTTAGGCTTCACCTTACTCAACCTTTCAGCAGCATTCAAAACAGTTCTTTTTTGAAACAATCTTATCTTTTGTCTTCTGTGCCACTATTCTCTCCTGGCTTTCCTCGTACCTCTCTGGCTGCTACTTTTCAGTATCCACTGCAAGCTTTCCCTCCTCAACCAGAGTGCCTTCGGTTACCAGATCCCTTCCTTTCTCTACACCAGGAGTTGGCAAGCTATGGCCTACAAGCTAAATCTGGCCTGTTTTTTTTTTTTTGTAATAAAGTTTATCAGAATTCAGCCACATTAAAATCCTCACACATTTTAAAATATGGCTGCTTTCATGCTACAGCGGACGGAGCTGAATAGGTGTGAGAGATTATAGGGCTCAAAAAGCCTAAATATTTATTCTCTGGCCCTTTACAGAAAAAGCTTGCTGACCCCAGCTCTACACCTTCTTCCTAAGTAATCTCACTCATTTTAAATACATGCTGGCAATTCCAAAATTTATATCTCCAACCTTATGTCTCTCCTCTGAGCTCTGGAATCTTCTATCCAACTACTAATTTAATATACCTATTTCAATGTCCCATAGGAAAATCAATATAAACCTACCTAAAATTAAATTTTTTATTTCTTCCTGAAAACTAATCTTCTCTCATCTTCCTCATCATCATCTTAACTGCTCAAACCAAAAATCTAGATGTCACTTCTAGAAGACATCTCGAATTCACTTGCTTCTTCCCTCTTCTCCTTCCCCACACACAACCTGTTAACAAGTTCTGTTCATTCTGGCTTCAAAATATACCTTGAATCCATCAGCTTCTCTCCATCACCACTGCCACCACCCCAGTCCAAGTCTACCTACCTTACCACACTAGTCTAACTGACTTCCCTGCTACCACTTCTTTTCCTCCTCAAATCCATTCTCCACAGCAATCAAATCATGTTATATCTTATTTAATTTTCATAATAACCCTATAAGGTAGTTACTATTATAATTCTCATCTTATAACTGGGAAAATTTAAGGCTTAAAAAGTTAATGTGAGTTGCTTTAGTAAAACACAAAACTAATGTGTGGCAGAGATTCCAAATCATTAAACTATAAACTTACGTTCTTTCTCTTGCACAACTGAAGCCCTGTGTCAGGACCGACTAAATCCTTTCCTAGGTGATTTCTTATACTTTCAGGCACAGAATAAAGTAATTTTAATAGTTAATTATATCCAGTATCTTACAGCAGTCTTGTTACCTTCTATCCTAGTGAACCATACCCTACTTTTCTCTCATGAATAATTCTCTATTTATCATATCTACCAATTTAATCTTATCTATCCACCAAGACATGGGCCTTCATATATACTTGAGTCATAAACCAGGTTTCCCCAAGCCAACAATGTTTCTTACAAACTGTGTTTTGTTGTTGTTAGCACAGCGTGTGTGTGTATGCGTGTGTGTATTTAGTATGTAATACGTGCAAACATTTAAAAATCAGGAGATACTACAGCCAAAAAAAAATCTGGATTCATGACTGGATGAGAAAATCTGCTAACATCAGCTGGAATTAAGTAGCAACCACCCACCACGTTCAGAGGATGTGCTCTCTGATTCCTCACCTATTTGCTCTTGTTTCATACTGGGCTAAATTTACTCATACACCTTTTCTGCCTGGCCTCTTACACATTTAAATTTTTTATCTTTAGACTATTCTACGAACTTCAAAGGAAAAAGAGGTTGTATTTTGGAGATTCCCTTTGTTATACTGATTGCATTTCTCTTCCCTTTCTTTACAATGAATAAATATGAATTATGTATAGCACACATGCATGACTCTGTCTCTCAAGAAGCTATGCAAATTTTGCACTAAATATTTAATGCCCAAGGGTAAAAGACTTAATTTTCCTAACATCACTTTTTCCATAACATCAACTAGCTATCATCAAACAAATAATAAGTAACAAAAACTAGCATTTCTCCATCTTTAGTCCTTTCCTTTTATTAAACAAATGATCAATCCTGGACTTCCACAACTTTTTACTCTAGAAAGAACATAAACTACAGTGTTTTCAAAACTCTGCTTTCTCCTCTAATTCTAGTTTGCTTTGGAGGGAAATGCAGCTTACCACTACAAGTCCTGTTGTCAGCATTAAGAGAATAGTGGGCAGGGCATCCACAAACAAAACCTCCAACTGGCACAGCCAAGCAGAGGTGGGAGCAGTGCCCGTTGCTGGAAGCACACTCATTCCACCCTGCCTGCCGGGAGGAGTGAAAGACGAGGATGTCCATCACATAATCCAAGTGGCCCTGAATGATGGTGCGGTTTTGGCCACTGGTTTTGTTGGCACGCTCAATGCTGCGTCGGCTCCAGTCCGTCCAGTAGATGTAATCTTGGTACTGAGTTAAGCCAAAAGGATGAGGCAAGTCATCTGCTATAACTTCACGGTTGAGTCCTATTTTTGGAAAGGCAGTAGACAGGGGAGAAGCAGAAGGATGAAACAGGTAAGAAGATACGAGTCTTGTTGGCAAACAAACAAAAAAAGTAACACACAAAACATTACACTTGTAAGCAATTTAAAATAGAACGATTCATTTAAATGCAATTCTAAAACCAGACCAATCCTCTGAAATCAATCCATCTGCAGTCTGACCCCATGCCTTAAAACTTATATTCTTGCGATAAATCACTGAGTTTGTCTAAACTGCTGCAAATGGTATACTTTGTGTCTTATTTTCTCTCCATAAGGGTCTATCGTTCAACTTTTCTTCTTCCTTCCATAAAAAGATGAAAATGCATGTATTGTATTTTACTGGTACAAAAAAGTCACTTCAGGAATATCTAGGGAGTTATAAATTCCATTACAAGCCCAAGAATAATGAAATTTCCACATAAAAAAGAGATGTGAGGGGCCAGTCCTGTGGAGTAGCGGTTAAGTGCGTGTGCTTCGCTGCTGGCAGTCCGGGTTCGGATCCTAGGTGCACACCAACGCACCACTTGTCAGGCTGTGCTGTGGTGGCGTCCCACATAAAGTGGAGGAAGCTGGGCGCGGATGTTAGCCCAGGGCCAGTCTTTTTCAGCAAAAAAAAAAAAAAAAAAAAAAAAAGAGGAGGATTGGCATGGATGTTAGCTCAAGGGCAGACCTTCCTCACAAAAAAAAAAAAGAGAGAGAGAGACATGTGAATCCAAGTACCTGGCCCACTTTTTTTTTTTTTTTTTTTTAAGATTTTATTTATTTTATTTTTTCCCCCCAAAGCCCCAGTGGATAGTTGTATGTCGTAGCTGCACATCCTTCTAGTTGCTGTATGTGGGACTCGGCCTCAGGATGAACGGAGAAGTGGTGCCTCGATGCGCACCCGGGATCCGAACCCGGGCCACCAGCATCGCAGCGCGCGCAACTGGCCCACTTTTAATAATAATAAACAGGATACAACGCCAGAGGAAGCATCCAGACATTCATATCAAGTTTGATTAATAGTATCTAACCAATGGTGAATAGCAGCCAATTGATTTTTGCATTAAAAGAATAACATACTGTCTATCTGAATAAAAAGAAGCCCAGCTTACCAAGCATATTTGAAGATTCTATTAAGTTGGTGTCCAGGTCTGTCCAATAAAGTCTCCTTTTAGCATAATCAATAGTCAGGCCATTTGCCCGGCCCACATTTGGAACTAATGTAGTACGTTCACTTCCATCCATGGCAGCTCTGTCTATCTTAGGTTTTCCACCCCACTCAGTCCAATACATAAATCTAAATTCAGAACAACGAATATTAACATTTCACTTTTGATCATTTGGGGGAAAGCGTCATATTCATGGATAGTAACTAAATAAATTTAAAGAAAATATCCATTAAGTCAAGAAAATTGGTAAAACAAAATCATGGCTATAATTTTTTCAATTATTTTGGCACCCTCAACTAAATATTTTTTCTCATATCCTAAAAAGGAAGTGAGTCAGCTTTCCTTAGTCTTTCCAATGAATTTGTTCCATCCAAAACCTAGGAATTGGAAACAAACCAATGATTTCCTTATTGAAGCACTTGCATTTATAAAACCAACATTCAAGAAGATAGCAAAGGATTAAAGCTCTGGTCTCAGAATCCGGTTTACGTCTGAATAAAATATCTTTACGTATTCCTGAATACAAGTAATTCAGGTTTTTAAATTTTTAAACTTACTTTTCAACTTGTGTAATCAACCCTCCCCCAAAACAAGTTACAGGAATATATGAAAGGTAAAAGTTATTAGCCTTTAACTGAAGTTAAAAAGCAAAGTTTGAAAATGTATTTGATCACACGGTGCAAGGGAACATACTGCATGTCTAAGAGCAATGAATCATCCCTTAATGTGTCAACTGGGCAGTGAACACTACTACCACAATCCCCGTGAAACTGTAGAATACTCTTTTGCTTTTACTTTACTTTTTCGAGTTTTTCACATTAACCTTAGAGCAGACCTACAGTATAGGCTTTTTACAGATGAGGCCAAAGCACTAAAAGAAATGTGAATGATTTGTCTAATGTTTTCAAGCCAGTCACATGGCAGAGCTGGAACTAGAACTTAACTCTTAGCCAAATGCCCTTTCAACTCAACTAGTAAGGTGCTAGTTTTGAGACACTTTGAATACTTGCAGTAGGAAAGCACTCCACATGCCAGCTCTCATCAAATACCTGAGCACAGACATTCACGCATCAGCCCGTCAGCTGACGGCTGACTTGGCAGCAACGTATGAACATGCTTTTCTGAAAATTAAAGTTGGTCTCAGGCTTTGTTTGCCGTTGCACTTGTCAGTTGACAGGCACATGCACACCACAAGAGCCAAAGAGGAACAACTGTGAGAGAAATTTCAGAGTTGCCAGCAGCCACATAAACTAGAGTCCTTAGTCCCAACTACTAAATTTATCTGTCTGATAACTAACACTTAAAGATCACCATAATCCAACCACAACATGTCAGCACAGAGAAGCTGTCTTTGATAGGGCCTTCCAATTAGATGGCTAACTAGCTCATCATGGAATTAATGTGATTTCAGGGAAACTATTTTTAATTACAGATATGGTAAATACGCTTATATGTTTACATTGTTAACTTCTGCTTTTAAAAGTGGAATTATCCTTCAAATTTCAGATTTCTTAGCTGCTGGCTTTTTAAAACTTCTAAATCATGTAAGAAGGATCACCTACCCTTGAAAAACATGTCATGTTGTAAATAAACAGTAACCTGTTTTTTTAAACAGTAAAACAGTTTTTTAAACAGTAAAACCAGTTTACTATTTAACATCACAGTTTCTCCAAGCTTATAATAATGATCAAACTAATTGTCCATTTTGAATTAATGAATATTCTAAAATGGAGTCTTTTAAATGCAGTTATTTCAGTGGGTTTACTTTAATAGGTTTGGAATCTGGCACAACTTGGGAGAGGGTACAAGCAAAAAGACTTGATGATACTGTTTATCATCAAGTTTATGATGTTTAAAAGGGCTGTTTACTTAGTATATAAATATGATCAGTAATATTTAATTATTTACTTAGTATATAAATGTTAATTATATTACATAGTTATTACTTACACCATAATTATATACTTAGTATATAAATATGATCAGTAATATTTAATTATTAATCCACTTCACTAATCTTTTTTCACCCAATGTTAATCATGACAAAAGTAAAATTTAGCTAATAGTTATTAATTCTAAATCAGTGAAATCTCAACTAATGGTTTTAAAATAAAGTCTATCTATGGTTTAGTTTTCAGATTCCTAATAAGCATTAAGACATCAAGAATATTATCCATAACTAGGCCATGTGCAATGTAGTTGCAAAGAATGCATACATAAAGTTGTTTACCCTTCAGCAGGGTCCAACGCAAGAGCTCTGGGACTATCTAGGTCTTTCCACACCAAAACTTGTCGGTGCTGCCCATCCAACTTTGACACCTCAATTCGATTCGTTCCTGTGTCTGCCCAGTACAAGTTCTTCCCAAGCCAGTCTACTGCCATGCCTTCTGGATAATCTAAGCCGAATTCTACCACATGTTCCAGTGCACTGCCATTCATAAAGGCTCTGCTGATGGTCTGCAAAAATAAGATTAACGATCAAGTCACATGGCTTTAAGTACAAAACACTATATGGAAAAAATGTTTGGTTTGGTTTTTATGGGGTGGGAGGATGCAGAAGAGTCAGAGGCATATAGTTTCTTAATACAATTCACATATTTTATGAGCACAGAAAAAAACTGTGTGATGTCAATCTCTAATAAATGCAACAGTGACCTCAAGTTTTACTGCCGATTCAAGGAGAAATTTTTGAAATTCTTTAAGACCAAAAATTTATTCTGGTAAGACAGTGGAATGATTTTTCTTTTAAAGTCTATTAGAAATCAAGTGAAAAAGTTGTCACCAGACTCTTAACTGGCAGTCAGCTTTCTGAAGGTGCTTGACAGTAGGCCTTGTCATTGTGTCAATTTGAGAAAATCTCAACAACCTTATACCTTATATACCTTGCATACAACTATTATATTATCACCACTGTAGCTTTGAATCCCCTATAATTTAAACAATCATAATTCAAGCTATTAATAATGGCTGTTACTTCTTGTCAAGCACTATCCTAAGTACTTTGTGTACATATATTTTCTCATTTAATCCTCATATCGGCCCTGCAAGATAGGCATTATCTCTATTTTCAAGATTAAGAAACTTAGAAGGCCACACAATAAAAGCCAAGATTTATTTATTTACTTCATTTATTCTCTCATTTAATAGATTTTACTGAACACCATCAGAATCCAACTCTGGCTCCAACACCCCACGATTTTTGCATATTAGACAAAATTTTACACAAGTTATCTGAAACAAGCCCAAAACAATCTGGAAGAAGGAAAGATTATTCTCCAGATTTTCTGGTCAGGAGCTCCTCCTTCTTATTGACTCAGTATGCTTTTCAATATTTATTCTAGAAAAAAGAAAATAAAGGTATGCTATAACTCATAATTGGCATTTTCTAGTTCAGGCTCCAAAATTTTGTTTAAAATAAGTCAAGTCTCTATAAGCCATTTATGTGAATCATACAGTTACTTACTCTCTACTTGCAGAAAATGTTACTTATTATCCTCAAATGGAACAAAGTACAGGAAGATTACGTCTTGCAGATTTATAACACTCAAGCAAACTATCTTGTATTAAAAGGTACTTAATAAAACACTGAATGGGCCTTTCCCTTGACTTCCTTTAGAAAGTTAAGGGTTTTTGTTGAACTTTGCCTATTAAACAAGGAAGGAGGTTGATCATAGCAAGAAGACTCAGACCCTTTTAGTTCCCAGTTTTAAAATCTCAATTCTTTCACTAACCTTGAGTGATATATCAGTCCAGTAAATTCGGTTGTCTGTCACATCAAAATCCAAAGCAGAAGCTTCTTTGACACCAGTGAGCGGAATGGCCACATTATTATTGTTAGTTTCCAAAGAAATTCGCCGAATATCTGCTCTCCGTGAAAACAAAAGGAAGGCCTCTGGGACAATGCAGGTCTTCATGTCACTGATGAGTTCAAAGCCTATAGGGCAGGCACAGCGAAGGCCCTGAGGTCTATAGAGGCAAAGATGGCTACATCCCCCATTTTCCTCAGCGCAGGGGTTAGAACCTAAAAGACAAATTAATTATAAAAGGCTTCAAAGGGATACACACATTGACATGATCAATACATTTTCACTTTAAAATGACTAAGCATTTGGTTCACAAAGACCTATAATTATATTTGCTCCCCAATCTAGAGTTTCAAGTCCAATCTCATAAACAAGCACTATGAGGATTAATAGGGAATAAAAGGCCAGGTACAGTGGTGCAGGCCTGTAGTCCCAGCTACTCCGGAGGCTGAGGTAGGAGGATCGCTTGAGCCCAAGAGTTCTGAGTTGTAGTGTGCTATGCCAATAGGGTGACGCACTAAGCTGGCATCAACATGGTGATCTCCCACAAGCAGGGGGAGCACCAGGTTGCCTAAGGAGGGGTGAACTGGCCCAGGTTGGAAATGGAGCAAGTAAAAACTCCCTTGCTGATCAACTGGGAATAAAAGTACAGTGAAATACTTTGCTTTGTACCCATACTTAGCTTTAGAATAAGTCACATTATTCATACAACAGGACTGAATTCTTTTGATGAAGGGGTGTGTGGGTGTGTGTGTGTGTGTGTTCAGCCTTTCGATTCAAATTATGTAGCTAGAGTACTAAGCCAACATAAAAGGCCCATTCCAGGTTATAAAAGAGTTCACAGATGATTTCTATAGCCCCTCAAAACATCAACAATTCATCTCGCTGTTTTACAAACTGCTGACTATCTCCACCTTTCCTCATTCTTGGCTTCCATCTCTAAGAGAATTTTGGAATTACTTACCAATAATTCGATGAACATTTGTGGCCTTTAGGCCCATGAGGTCAGGGAGCTGATCTATGATGATTTCCCTCTCTGCACTTCGTTTGTGTACTCTTTCGATGCTACGCCTCTGCCAGTCAGTCCAGTAAACATAGTCACCCAACAAAGTAAATCCAAAAATGTGAGGAATTTTGTCTTCCACTAGTACCCGTCTCCCAGTGCCATCGGTATTCATAACCTTCATGTTTAAGTATAAAGAGAAGGAAGAGGAAAAGATGGGTACTTATTCTTCAAATCTATGTAAAAATGACAAATCCAACTACGTGTTGCATCAAAATCCTAAAGAGTCATCTTAGTTATTCCTATTACAAAGCTTTCACAAAATGACAACATGCTGATTAATATAAGCTCATATTTTACCTCTATTTCTCCAATGTCTTATTAACCTTCCTTCTAAAAATCCTGGCAATACTAGATTTAGTATGCATCTCTTCCATTAAATGACTATGTAAAAATTAAAAATACAATATCATTACCTTAAATTTGCTCATACATTTGTTTTTAAATTACAATGTACCTTCACACACATTATTTTATTACATATTTTATTATATAACATTTTATTTTATCCTGAGAATTCTTCCATTTTTACATCTTGGGAAATTGAGATTCATATAAGGTCACACAGCTTATAAACAGAGTTGATGCCTTTTTAAAGACTCTTTCCACTTAGTATATTTTATATTTCATTGTTTTTTAAAAAAATAAAACACACAGATAAGAGGGCTCTCAATAAATCACTCACCCCCCTAAGGTTATAATCACAAAACTATACGGAATTTATGACACTCTCTCCACAACTGAGTTTCAAGCAACTAGAATGTACCTACTTTTTTCAACTCCCCTATAGTGACATTATTAAATTCATTCTGACACTCTCATTATAAACATCAGCAATTTCCCCAGAAGTGGCAAAGACATCTTTTCTGTCTCTGACATTGTAGCAACATGTACTAATATTCTGTTCTAAAAGATGGCGTAAGTCTTTGAAAGCACCAACTTACATGTCCGTACTAAGACCATTTCTACCATTTAAAGTGGCCTGTGTGCCAGGCAAATCAGCCTTCGGAAATGTTATTCTGGTACTAAAAACATGTACATGCAAACAATATCTGCCCCCACCTAAAAACAAGTATCAGAAGTAATCTTATATGCAAGTGTTAACTTTTTATCCATAAAACTAGTAAGAAATATTCCATGTAAGTCAATACTACGATTGCTTAGATGGAATGACAACCAGATGTTACCTTTATCTCTCTCCTCTAAAACCTTTAAAACACTTGCTGATCTTTCAAGAACAGCCAAACCCTGGAAATAACCAAGTACTTAAAAGTTGAGCAAGCGAGACTGAGCTATATCCTTGTATTTTAACTTGTAAATATCAATAAATATTTGACTTATATGGGATGGAAGAGAAATCATACTAGTTGAATGTTTATTTGTTTACATCAGATACAATAGGACTTCTGTTAAATATGCATTTAACGTATTAAACTAGAATGTCTTTAAAAGTAAAAAACATTTAGTTAGAATTTAAAACTACTCCAACTCCTACGTTAAATACTTTTTAAAGATAATAATTTCTCCTTAATTTGAGACATGAGTTTAGATTTTTTACACTCATATTTTCTTGCAATAGACCACTCCTGGATATATGTTATGATGTTTACGTGGTACCTTAAAATTACTTTGGTATTTAAGACTATGAGGACTAAGCACAGAAAAAGGGTTGATTATTTGTTTACATATCTAACCAGAATGTGAGCTCTAGAATAGCAAGAACCTTAATTCATCCATTTATGTGTCTTCCACAGCTACTATTAAAGAACCTGGCAAAGAACTCAATAAATATTTGTTAAAGAATTTTTAAAGGAGATAGGTTTCCTAAGACACTCAAGAAACCTTCCCAAAAATGCAAACAAAAATTTATATGACAGTTCTTATCCTCAGATCCTACAGCTTAGCCATTTGAATGAATGAAAGGTATTCTTGCCCAAATTTTAAATTGATGTAAAAAGGCATACTACTGCCTACATCTGGAGAACGAATACATTCCTATCTCTCCTAAAAGCAGAGTCTGAGAAAAAAATTTCTGGTTCCATTCTATTACTGCTTGGAAACTTAGATCAGGGTGAAATATCTTTCCTTTATTAGACATATAACTTAGAAAGTCTTTATTTTAGGTGGGGGAAGCTTATTTTTAAAACTCTCTACTTTTGCCTCTATCCTAATAAGGAGACTATCTCTTGACTCCAGTATCTTCCTATAACCCCCTTTTACAAGAACTTCCTCCCAACACTATTTTCCTTCCTTTCTGGGACCTTCAATTTCTCCCTCTCCATAGGGTCCTTTCTTTCTGCCTTTAGCACAACACAATTTCCCTGATCTTAGAAAGACACTGTTTAAAAGCTGAAAGATTCTGAATCTATTCCATCCTTCTTATTTTACTGCCATATTCTTTGAATGTAATCTCTAACAGCTGCCTCCACCTCTTAGCATTCATTCCCTTCAACTCCCTAAAACTGGCTTACAATCTATGACTCAGATGAAATAACTATACTGAAATGATCAATGACTACTTTTCTTGCTTTTCTCAGTTCTTGTGTTCTTTTCCCTCTTTTTAACATCTGATACTCTTAACCACCCACTGAAACTCGACATGGGGTTTTCATGACACAATATGATCTTATTTCTTTTTCTATAGCCAGGACTGCTTTTCATCTCTTCATTTCACTGGTTCCTCCTTCCTTTTTGAAAGCTGATAGGATATTTTCCAAAGTTTCCTGGGTTCTTCTCTCTCTATAAAACACCCTTCAAAAGCCCATCAATTTCTATGGCTTCTACTATTAATCTATGTAGAAAAATTACAAACATGTAAAGTTCTAGCCTAAGGTCTCATCAGTTGCTACTGCACTATTTCCACCTGCGTTTCCCAGAAAATGTACTGCTACCTCATCTAAAATGTCATATACTTAAAATGAACCCATGTTCTCCATTGCGGGGAGTTCATCATCCTATCAGAGAGCACCTAACACACAGCGCTAAATATTCTGTGTTATAAGACTCTAAAATACTACTTTCTTACACGCTTATGGTATATTAAAATATGTCTGACTTGATCATATTCCTAGTTTCAGAACTACCTTAAATCAATTATACTGCATTAACTTACATTTAATAAATTAACACTAATTTTCCTGATTAGTACACCTAAATTCTGCCTTCCAATTACAAATTTACTTGCTGATCTAAACGCATATCCTAGGAGCGATGTCAGCATCACAGTGGAGTGAGTTGTTCCCTTTGTCTCTCCGCTCTAAATTACAACCAGACACCCACTGACCAACAGAGGTTTCCCTACACAGCACAAGAGGATGCCTAAGAGATCCTGGCAGCTATTCATCTGAAGGTGGGTGGACTGGACTTCCAGGAAGCAATGAAACTAGGGGAGAAACCCCCCCTGCTCCCCTGGTGACAGAGATCCAGGGCACAGATCCTCATATAGTGGACTGTGCACCTGTGAGTGGAGGTGAGGGTGGCCCGGCACCACGTGCATGAACGCCCAGAGTGGCAGCGACGCGGCAGCCCCGTCCCACAATGGTCAGGGGAGTGGCAGCAGGCCCGACCAGCACAGCTGTGAGTAGACGGGGTAGGAGCGCCCAGCCCCCAGTGTTGGCACCCCCGACACCAACTCCACCAGTAGCGAGGGCTGCAGAGAAGTCCCTGGGTCCCCAGGCCCCAGCCAGCAACAGTGACACTTGTGAACCCAGCACCCCTAGCAGCAGTGCAACCAGCACCCCCAGACAACTCAGAAACAGCAATGTAGGTGGTGCACTGGACAATAGCACCTAAGCCTGCAGAGAGGAGGAGGAACATGAGACCCAGGTGACCAGAACCAAAGTAACCAAAGCTGTACCCAAATAAGTAAAGGTGATTACTACCACAAATGCACCTATAGAGAATCACTTCATCAAACAGAATGAAGAACTACAGTAACACTGCAGTACAGAAGAAAATGACAACTCTCCAGAAACCAAACTTGAAGTCATAGAAGATTACAACCTAACTGACAAAGAAGACAAAACAGCTGTCATAAAGAAACTCGAGTTATGAGAAAATTCAGAAAGACAGTTCAATGAGCTCAGGACTAAAATTAATGAACAGAAGGGTTACTTCACCAAAGAGATTGAAGCTCTAAAAAAAAAAAAAAAACAAATTTTGGATATGAAGAACACAATAAATAAGATAAAAAATAAAGTAGAAAGCATTAAAAATAGAGTAGACCTTATGCAGGAGGAAATTAGTGAGCTGGAAAATACAAACACAGAAATGATTCAGATACAGGAAGAGAGAGAACTAAGATTTTTAAAAAATGAAGAAATTATTCAAGAAATATCCTACTCAATTAGGAAAAATAACATAAAACTTATAGGTATCCCATAGGTAGAAGTGAGGGAAAAAGAAGACTGAGCATATTCAAAGAAATAATAGTTGAGAACACCCCAAACCCAGAGAAGGAACTGGACATGCAAGTATATGAAGCTAAAAGAATTCCTAATTACATCAATCAAAGCAAAAAGATCTCCTCCAAGGCATATATTAAAACTGACAAAAATCAATGACAAAGATGGGGTCGGCCCAGTGGCATAGTGGTTAAGTTCACATGCTCCACTCTGGCGGCCCAGGGTTCATGGGTTCAGATCCTGGGTGCAGACGTGTGCATCGCTTATTGAGCCATGCTGTGACAGCTGTCGCACACATAAAGTAGAGGAAGAAGGGCATGGCTGTTAGCCCAGGGCCACTCTTCCTCACCAAAAAAAAAAAAAAAAAAGAAAAATCAATGACAAAGAAAAAATATTAAGGGAAACAAGAAAGAAGAAAATAACCTACACAGGAAACCCCATCAGGCTTTCAGTAGATTTCTCAGCAGAAATTTCACAAGCTAGAAGAAAGCAGAATAATATATTCAAAATACTGAAAGACAAAAACTATCAGCCAAGAATACTCTATCCAGTGAAATTATCCTTCAGATATGACAGAGAAATAAAAGCTTTCCTAGAAGAACAGAAGCTGAGGGAGTTCACTGCCACCAGACCTGGCCTACAAGAAATGTTGAAGGGAACCCTCCTACCCGAAACAAAAAAGGCAAAGTTTACAAAGCTTTGAGCTAGGAAATAA